GGCAGGTTTTGGGGCGGGTTTGGGGCAGGCTTTGAGCAGGTTTGGGGTGCACTGCAGCAGCTCCCTGTGTTGCAGTGCTCGGCCACGTGCGGCCTGGGCGCGGTGTGGCGGCCGGTGCGCTGCAGCAGCGGCAGCGACGGCGGCTGTCCCGCGGCCGACAGACCCGTGCCCGCCCGGCGCTGCTCCCTCAGACCCTGCTCGGCCTGGCGTGTGGGCAACTGGAGCAAGGTACGGGCCACGGGCAAGGGAGGGTCCCCAAAACCCGCGGGGCAAGCTGTAGGGTCACGCCTGCTCTTGGGGAGGGCTCTTGCCCCACGGCTCGCGTGGGTTTGCGCTTGCCGCGGGGTTTAAACCGCTCATCCCACAGTATTTTCATGTTTCCTGCTCTTGGGCTGGTAGGAAAGTCAGGAATTTGCTAAAATCTTCTTTAGGTGGATTTGATGAAAGGCCAGGTTGGGTGGGGCTGGACAGCCTGGTCTAGTGGAGGTCATCCCATGGCAGGGGCTTGGAACAAGGTGGTCTTTAAGGTCCATTGCAAGCCATTTTCTGGTTCTGTGGTTTCTCATGTGTTCTGGCCACTCTGCCCCGCCAGGGGCTGCTTGCAGTTGGGTTGGGTGAATTTGGGTCGCTGGTGGGGAGCAGCTCTCCTTGCTCTGGGTGGTTGCTGTTCCTTGGGCTCATCAGTTCTATAAGGCACAAAGACTGCTCTTGTTCCAGCTGGAAACCAGCAGGTTTCAGAGGGGTGCCAGTGACAGGTGAGCCACACAGACTGTGCTCTGGCTGGGCCTAGAGCAAGAGGGGAAAGGAGGTGTGGTGTCAACTGAACCCATCCCAGGGCAGAGCGTGTTCCTGGGGTCACCTCCCGTCCCCACAGGGATCCCCCTGCCTGGCTGTGTGTCCTCCTCCACTGTGTCTGTGTGTCCTCCTCCACTGTGGCTGTGTGTCCCTCCCCACTGTGGCTGTGTGTCCTCCCCCTCCATGGCTGTGTGTCCCTCCCCTCCGTGGCTGTGTGTCCTCCCCCTCCATGGCTGTCTGTCCCTCCCCACTGTGTCTGTGTGTCCTCCCCCTCCATGGCTGTGTGTCCCTCCCCTCTGTGGCTGTGTGTCCTTCCCCTCCATGGCTGTCTGTCCCTCCCCACTGTGTCTGTGTCCCTCCCCACCGTGGCTGTCTGTCCCTCCCCACCGTGGCTGTCTGTCCCTCCCCTCCGTGGCTGTGTGTCCCTCCCCACTGTGGCTGTGTGTCCTCCCCCTCCATGGCTGTGTGTCCTCCCCCTCCGTGGCTGTGTGTCCCTCCCCTCCGTGGCTGTGTGTCCTCCCCCTCCGTGGCTGTGTGTCCTCCCCCTCCATGGCTGTGTGTCCTCCCCCTCCGTGGCTGTCTGTCCCTCCCCACCGTGGCTCCGTGTCCCCGCAGTGCTCCAGGAGCTGCGGCGGGGGCACCAAGGTGCGGGACGTTCACTGCGTGGACACCAGGGACCAGCGGCTGCTGCGGCCGTTCCACTGCCAGGCGGGGCTGGCGCAGCCCCCGGCGCAGCTGCCGTGCCACAGCGCGCCCTGCCTGGCCTGGTACACGTCCTCCTGGAGAGAGGTACTGCTGCAAATGCAGGGGACCCGCTGGGCAGCAATGGTGTATGACTGCAGTCCAGAAGGCTGAATGGTTTCTTTATTATAACTATACTAAAATACATTAATACACTATTTAAAGGGGATACTAAAACTACAAACCTGCTTTTTCTAACTCCCAAATCTAACTCGCTCACAACTCGTGCCCCTCTCTGAGAGCCCAGCCCCAGGTGGGTTGGATTGGGTTGGGTTGGGTTGGATTGGCCACCAGGCTCAAACAATCCTCACCAGAATCCAACCAAGCAACACCCCAGGTAAACAATTCTCCAAACACATTCCACATGGGAAAAACAAGGAGCAGAAATAGAAATTGTTTTCTCTTTCTTCTCTCTGTGCTCCTCTATGAAAAATCCTGAGAGATAAGAATGTGTATGGGCTGGCCTGGGCACAGCTCGCCCACCCCTGCCAGGGCAGGGACACCTGCTGCTGTCCCAGGCTGCTCCAAGCCCCAGTGTCCAGCCTGGCCTGGGACACTGCCAGGGATCCAGGGGCAGCCACAGCTGCTCTGGGAATTCTATCCCAGCTCCTGCCCACCCTCCCAGGGAACGATTCCTAATTCCCAATCTCCCATCCATCGCTGCTCTCTGGCAGTGGGAGCCATTCCCTGTGAGCCATCCCTCCATCCCTTGTCCCCAGCCCCTCTCCAGCTCTCCCGGAGCCCTCCGGGCCCTGGGGTGGCTCTGGGCTCTCCCTGGAGCTTCTCCTGGCCCAGCTGTCCCGGGTTTGTCCCGCAGTGCTCGGAGCCGTGCGGCGGCGGGGAGCAGGCTCGCCTGGTGACGTGCCCGGAGCCGGGGCGCTGCGAGGAGACGCTGAGGCCCAACAGCACCCGGCCCTGCAACAGCCAGCCCTGCACCGCCTGGCTGGTGGGCTCCTGGGGACAGGTGAGGGGGCTGCCGCCCCGCAGGGGCCGGGGCAGGGCGCTGGGGGTGCCCCCGCCTGAGCCCCCCGTCCCCGCAGTGCTCGGCGCCCTGCGGAGGGGGCATCCAGCGGCGCCAGGTGCGGTGCGTGGACACCCGCAGCGGCGTGCCCGAGGAGGACAGCAGCCTGTGCGGCCACCAGCCCTGGCCAGAGAGCACCCAGAAGTGCAACCCGCAGGACTGCGACGGCTCCCAGCCAGGTGAGCGGCAGGTAAAGAGTGGCGTGGAGGCCGTGGGAGACGGAGGGAGCGTTTCCTGCGTGGGCTGGGGAAGGCTGACTCGGCTGCCTGATGATTAAGTGGGAATGTTGTCACTGTCTGCAAACGTCAGAGCATCCTCAAGGGCCAGGCAGGGTTCTGCTGGCACCGAGGTGAGCTGGGATGTGCTTGTTGGGGTCAGGGGTGTCACCCAGCGCAGGGACCACATCCAGAGGCAGCAGGGCATTCAGGAACAGGAGGGCACAGGGAATACCCAGTGATGGAGCTCTCAGAAAGCTGCTCAGTGGTAAAGTCCCAGAACACAAGACTTGTGAAACAAGCTGGGCCCAGCATCAGAAGATGGGATAAAGGAGCAGCTCTCCAGCATCTTCAGGTGTGTCTGAGCAGGTGCTCCAGGGAGCCAGCCCTGTGTCAACCTGTTTGTCATTTACCTGCCCCAGCTGCAGCCACAGGGCTTGGCCGCACCACGGGCACTCACCTGGCTTCTGCTCCCTCTTCCTCTCACAGGGACACATCCCAAGCACCAGGCAGTCACCTGGGAGACAGAAATCTGGGGACTGCAAGAGTTAGCAGCCCTTACACAAAAGCAGTATAGTGAGAGATTAGATGTCACTGATGTCTTTATCTATTTAATGTGTCTGTGCAAAAGAAAAGCTCTTTGGCTGCCCAGAAAGTATTGCTGGACCTCCTGGAGGTTTACTGGACAAAGGGAGGGCTGAGAGATGGGGCAGGGGGGCAGCAGTAGCTGGTGCCTGGGGTGCAGGAGCTGCTCCACACATCCCTGAGGTCCCTGTGCAGCCTGGGACACCCATTCCAGCCTTCCAGCTCTTTTTGTTTATCCCGTGCCCAGCGTGTTCCTCCCAACACCAATTCCAGAGCAGGCAGGAGCGTTTTGGCTTTGGCTAACTGGGATTTGAGCACTGACGCTGTTGGCCATCAGGATGTTTTTAGCCATTAATCTGCTCCTTTTCTGGAGCATTTGCAGGGCCATGGGGCACTCCAGCACTTAGGAAATGATGAGTCAGCCCAGCTCAAGACACGAGGTGCGGTTCCGGCTGTTTTGGTCAGGGGAAAATTTCCATGCCAGGCTTGGTGATGAGAGCTGTGGAGCCAAGGCTGGACCAGAATAACCACTGAGATGTGTAGGAAGCACACAAATAAATGGTAGAATCCTGGATCAAAAATGACATAAATGCTCTGGCTGCAGCCCAGGGCAGGAAACGCCTCTTGGAAATACAAACGTTTCCAGCCAAAGCATGAAGGGGAACAAAATTTTCACATGGCAGGAAATCCCAGATGTGTAAATGCACAGGCAAAGGCTCCCAGAAAGACATAAATGTAACTGCAGGCCTTTCCTGTGCTCCAGGGGATCTTTACTGCACAAGATGGGCTCGGGCTGGAGCGATCCATGTTTTTGTGAGGAGCACAGGAGCCTCTCTCCTGTGGCACGAGTGCTCCTGTACCAGCAGAACCAGGGCTGGCTCTGTGAGTGGCCGTGTCCTCACCGGACACAAAAGTGCCAATAACCCCAGCAGGGTTTAAATGTTCAAACCACTATCAGATGGATTTGGAGCAGAGATGGAACAGATGAAGCACTAACAAGCATCTCACAGCAATCAGCTCCTCAATTAAAGGAGGTCGGGATTAATTAGAACCAGAATCTTGAGCTGTTGCCAGGTTATAAATTAATTGAAGATTCCACCAAGGTTATTTTTGAATGTGGCTGTTGCCTTACAGCTGCAGCCAGCTGTGAGGGTGTCCTTAGATGGCTCCTGGGAGCTTCAGAGCCGTGGGCACCCCAGTGCCTCCGTGCGATGCTCCAGAGGCTGGGGACATTTATCTGGGAGTTGGTTATGGTGTCTTGGAAAGGAGCTGAGCCCCAGGTCTGCATGAGGGCCTGGAGAAGCCTGCAGCAGCTTATCCAGCAGGTCAGACAGATTTAAAGCAGAAAAGTGGGAATGGCTGTGTGCTGGAGGAGGAATGGGGGGTGAATGGAGCTGGTCACTCAGCTGGTCACTCAGGGTGGTGGGCCCAAGGAGCGCCGGCTCTGCTCCCCCGGGCTCAGCCCCACGTGCCGGCCCTGTCCCACTGCTCCTGTTTGCTGGCTCCTCCCCAGGGCTGCCTGGTTCTCCGTTAATTGGCAATTAAGCGAGGAAATGAAATTGGTCATGGTTCTGCAAGTCACCGAGTTCGTCCACAAGGGATCCGTGTGGGAAATAATGGCAGCAAATCCCAATTTCCTCTGTCGTTTGAGCGTGTCGGTCCCTATCCAAGTGGTGAGGCCAGGAGGTGCTGCTGAGTGAGGCATGGAGAGCAATTAATTAACTGCTAATTAACAGCAGGAGTCAGTGGGAAAGGGATAGTCCAGAAAGGACTCCCTGGTTTGATAAAATGTAGGAGAGAGGTGTTGCCTGCAGCAGGGCTGACACCTGAAAACTGTGGGGTTTGTGGGTTTGTCCCGGGTTCAGTGCCAGCCTGTGCAGGCCAGGCTGGCAGTGGGGATGCATCCCATGCATCCCGTGCCCCCCATGCATCCCATGCACCCCATCATGCTGACCAGACACCACAGGGAGGCACCTCAGCCCCAGAGCAGGACCCTGGGGTGATTCACTTGTTCAACTCAGCCCTGGCTCCGAGAGCATCCCGAGGGCCAGAGGTCAGCAGCCTAATTCCCTGGATTTGCTAGCTCAGCTCCAAGCTCAACCTTTCCTTGTTTTTACAGAACGTGTTCCAGGAAGTTTGTTTTTCCCAGGAATAAAAGTAAAAGCTTAGGTCTGGCTGGCAGAAGCTTAAATGAAATTTAAAGCGACTTCCACACCGACCTAAAAAAACAGCCCCCAAAAAAGTGGGGCTTTTCAGTCTCTAATGTGCTGACTTAGCCTGGATTTTTAAAGCCCTGCTTTAAGCTATTTCTTTAGCCTAAAATTTGGCATGGACTTACGGAACACGTTTCCAAATGAAGTGCAAGGATTATATAAAAAATTGTTAATAGAAAGAAATGGCAGTAAAAGGATTCAATGAAAATTGGGTGGGTTCTGTAGGTCCCTCTCTGAAGAGCTGACAAATTAAGTGCTTATTACAGCTTCCCTTGCCCAAGACCGAATTCCAGGGAGGAATCACAAGCTCAGCCAAGATTTTCAGACCTGAGCCTGACCCCGCACACATCCACCCTGGGCCTGCAGCAGGCTGGGAGAGCGATGGGAACTCGGCCCCTCCACGACTCCCAGTGACTTCCCGGAGTTCAGGGGCGTTGGGAACGCTCTCAGGCGTGGGGTGGGACTCTGGGGGTGTCTGTGCAGGGCCAGCACTTGGACTGGACGATGCCTGTGGGTCTCTTCCAAGCTGGATATGCTCTGATCCATGAGGTCATTTGGCTTTGGAGCCCTGGGGTGCTGCCGGGGTCTCCTGTGGGGTCAGCAGCGCTGCAGCCAAGGGTGGTGGCTCCTCTCCCCCATCCCAAGCCCACCCCTGCTGTTTCCCACAGTGATCCCATCCTGTGAGGCTGAGGAGGAGTTCAGAGAGCAGCAACCCCTGGCAGGGTGGGCTCAGCGCTGCCCGGGCATGGTGCAGGGGCAGGAATTTCCTGCTGGGAGCAGGGAAGAGCTGAGCCATCCCTGCAGGCCTGGAAAGCAGCGTCCCGGCGCGAGCCTTCCCAGCTCTTTCCAAGGAAGGCAGGAGGCAGCTTGGTCGTGATCCATGAATAACTTTCTAGGAAGCTGCGAGTGCTGGATGTCCTGAGGGGCAGAGCATCCCCCAGCAGTGCCCAGGACATTCCCACCCATCCGTGGGCATCCAGGCCGATTGCCACTCTCGTGGACACCCCTGAGGTGTTTTAGGAGCCCTGCTGAGCCATCCCTGTGCTGCAGCAAATGGCAATACCTGCACTGCTGTGCTCCAGTGTCCCCGTGCAGCAGGGCTGGGCGTTCAGGCCGTGCCTTGTGCAGCCACAGGGATGCTCCCAGGGAGGATTATCCTGGCAGCCCCGTGGGGCACAGCACCAACAAACAATTCCCTTTTTCCAGTGGCTCCCGCAGCTCTGGATGTGCTGCACTCCTGGCCTGGGCTCTGCAGGGATTTCTCATCTGCTGTGCTCACCCAGCAGGCCAAACCCTCTGCTGGTGTCCCACCCAGCCTGAGGGGTGCTGTGAAGCTGGGATCCCCCCAGCCCGCTCTGTCAGCGCTGCTGCTCCAGCACTGCAGTGATAAATTGCTTTTTGGGGCACTCTGGCCAGGCACAAGGAGCTGCAGCTCGCGAGGCAGGGAGGAAAGACCTCAGCTGAAATAGAAAATGAGTTTTAGGGCAGTGTGGTGACCTCCTCGCTGCCGGGCTGGGGGAGGGGGCTGTGGCTGCAATCCCAAACCGGGGGAGAAGTCTCTGCTCTGCATCTGCCGCATCTCGCCCGGGCTGGGCTGGGCTGGGCTGGGCTGGGCTGCTCCCGTGGGAATGGGGGCAGCAGCCGTTCCCTCGGCACAGCCTTTGTTCCCAGAGGGGACAGGGGCACTGGTCAGCCACAGCTGCCCTGGCTCGGTCACGGCATCGCCCCTGCAGAGAAGTGTCCCGAGAAAGAGAAAATCCCATTCCCTGCCCCGTTTCTGCCCCTGCTCTCATGGTCCTGGTGGAGGGTGCCCAGGGAAGGCACTGGGGGGTTGGCCCAGAGTGCATCAGCTCTGCCCCTTTCCAGAGAAAAGCTGTCATCTATTTTAATTCCTTGTGCCAGAGGTAAAGTTGGAATCACAGAGTCACAGATTTTAAGCTCTGGCTCGACTCTGAGCTGATGTAATTTAAGGCAGTCTGACGCCACTGGGTGAGAAGCTGCAGGCTCAGCGAGTCATGCCTTGCTCTGAGATGAAGTAGAGAAGGAGGAAATCAAAAATACAAACAAACCAGCTCTGTATTCCTATAAATCATGTTTATTTGGGGATGGGTCTGTGCTGCTGGCCAGAGCCCAGGTGGGGCCTGGGCTGCCACTGGAGCAGCCGTTCCCAAAACAAAGCCCGTCCTCAGAGCAGCACCAGACTTGTTTTGAGGGCTGCAGGACACCTGCAGGAAGCAAACCAGATGATGCAGGTTCTCAAAATAACCAAAACAACTCAGAGAAAAAGGAATTCTGGCCTTTCCACTGCTCTGCTGGCGCTGGGGGGGCTGGCAGGAGGTGCCAGGACAGGGGACAGGGGGTTTGTCCCCTGCAGCTCAGCTCGGTGCCCTGGCAGCCTCTGTGCTCTGGGGCTGCTGGCAGCAGCACAGCTGTGCTTGCTGTGGGGATGGGCAATGCCAGGTGCCCTGGTGCAGGAGGGCTCCTGGGGTTCTGTGCTCAAGATGGCCCCAAAAGCATAAAAAGCCTTTTCCTCCCAGCGCTGCAGCCAAAAAAGAAGTCAAGATGCATTGGTTTTGTTTCTCAAGATTATTTATTTTCTCTTATCTATAACATTCTTTCTTTGTCCTGTTAAGCTCTGTCCAGCAGGTCGGCCATGGCATTCTGTCTGCTCTCTAGGGTGGTGTTTGCATTTCATACTATGAACTACGTGTGCTTTATTTACAATTAATTCCCAATACTAATCACCTCTGTTAGACAGTGCGGCTCTACTCCAAAGCAATAAAAAGTGTCACCGTCACAGTGAAAAATGGAGGATGAGAAGAATGACAAGACACACCCAAATCCCTCCATCTTGCCTCCTGAACCCCATTCTAAGAACCCCCAAAATTCTACTTTTTCACCCGGTGTTACATTAACTCAAACTCTTGCGACCTGTAAATCTTCACACAAAGCTGGCAGTGTTTCTCACAGGCTAAAATGGGAGCCACGGGTGTTTTTGCTCGGTGCCAAGGTCTCTGAGCCCCCTGCCAGGGCAGCCAGAGGGGTGTGCTGGGTCCCACAGCGGGCAGTGCCCTGGGGCAGCTGTGTCCGTGTCCCCCATCGCTCCCACAGAGCCCTGCAGGGGTTGGGGCTGGGGGGGACTTTACAATCATCCCATTTTGACATCGGGCACCCGTGCCCGTGGTGCCAGCAGCACTGACCCCCCCTGTGCTCCTGCCTCCCCTCCAGGTGCCCCCTGCGAGCGCGACCGCCTGAGCTTCGCCTTCTGCCGGACGCTGCGGCTGCTGGGCCGGTGCCCGCTGCCCACCGTGCGCGCCCAGTGCTGCCGCAGCTGCCGCCGGCCCAGGCTGCCAGCCGTGCCCGGCCGCGCCCGCGGGCACCGGCGCCCGGCCCGCAGCTGACAGCGCTGCCGCCGAGCCGCCGCGCCCGGGCAGGGCTGGCGGCCGTGCCCGCGGACTCGTGCCACCCTCTGACGGTGCTCCAACCACGGCTGGGGTCCCGCTGCTCCCCACCGCCCTGCCGGGAACGCTGCCAGGGCCGCCCAGCCCGGGCACACGGGGGGAAGCAAAGGGAAGGGGGAGCTGAAAGCAGCAACACTTGGGGAAGACCTCCCAGAAATGCTCATGGTGCTATCCTTCGATGTTTGCAGCCTCTCCAAGGTGTTGGCTGGCCAGCACAAACTTTGACTTTTATTATTATTTTTGTATCTCTGAGGTGAGCATCCAGCATTCCGCCGGCTCTGCCGACCCTTTGGGGTAGGGATTTTTTTGTTGTTTTTTTTTAAGGGACTTGAAGCTAGCAACCCATTCCTGTAATTTTCATTAAAATGTTTACGCGCTGAAGCTAAATAGATTTAATTTAAGAAGCGGAGGAAGAAAGTTTCAGCCTCAGTTGGGGCTGTGCAGGGCTCTGTTGCCCATTGCTGTGTCCCTCTGGAGCAGAGGGCATCACCAGGGAGGGTTGGAGTCCAGCAGGGCATTCCCGTTCCTTGGCGTGCCTTGGGGCAGGGGAGGGAAGCTGCCCTGGCAGTGAGTGCCACGTCCCTCCCTCGTGGGCAGCCAAGTGCTCAGTCCCTGGGTTTCTCTATGTGTAGCAGTGTAATGCTTGGTTAAGGTGTTTTTCTGTGGCCTTACAGGCTAAATCTTTTTTTTTCCCTGCTTATCTAGATTCTCCTCTGTTAAGGTTAGCTGATTTTTAACTAGAATATCCCATTTACTCTGAGGCACAGCCCCTACCGCCTGCTCCCGGAGCGGTGTGGGAGCAAATCCCTCCCTGTCCCGGGGAGGGATTCCTGCCAGGTTGGTCTCTGGAGGAGGGCAGGAGCGTTTAGGTAGGAATTCCTTTCCCTATTACTCTTCAGGCTGTGGAAGATGCCCAAAAACCGGGGGACCTTGCAGGGCAGTCCTCCCTGCATGGGCAGAGTCAGGCTGGAGCCCTGGGCTGCGGGGAGAGCAGCACTCAGCCCAAACGGGGACATTCCTGTGTGTGATTTTATGTCAAACGAGCCACAACCTTGCCATTTGTGCTCTATTCCCTTCCAAGGTGGTGTAAAGTTGTTATGGTCCAAGAACCTGTGTCCAGTCCCGGTCTCCTCGTCCCCAGCACCATCTGCCCCACACCCTGTCACCCTCCCAGGACTGCAAAGGGACGACCCTTGTGTTGGGCTCTCATGGCCACAGCTCACAAAGTGTGCTAAATTAAACAATTACTGAAGGAAGCAGGTGGCTTTCACATTTTCTCCTCCCCGTGGGGAATTCCGAAGGTTCTCAGTTAATTGGAGACGGTTCAGGCACTGGCAGCAGGAAGGAATCAGTTTGCATCTGAAAATCATTCACAGCTGCCCTTTGCAACTGGGATTTGCTGATTAAAACATGAGCCGGGCTGATGGGATAAATCGGTTCTGCAAATCAATTTATTTGTGGCACAGGATCTGGCGAGCCCCTCCTGCAGTGCCTTTCCACGTGCAGGGTCCCAGCTGTGGCTGGCTGAGGGCACAGGATCATCCAGGATCATCCCTCCTGTGGCACACCAGGCCTTTTTTAGCCACGTAACAAGCCAGGCCTCCCACCAGCACAGAAACTGCATTATCAGTGACAATAAACCACATCTGGCTTAAATATCTGCAGTATTTTCTTTCAGTGAGACACCTCCAGTGGGTGTCTCTGGAAAGAGGCTCTTCACAAAGGCCTGGCGTGACAGGACGAGGGGGAATGGCTTCCCACAGGCAGAAGGCAGGCTTGGATGGGATATAGAAATGCCTTTTTTCTTCTTCTAAGGACGCTTTTATTGTCTCAACACAAGCAGGATGTTATTCAGACACAGCTGCTGCAGTGGGGCGAAAGGAGGAAAGGGCTTGTGGATCAAAAGATGTTTGGGATGGGATCGTGGAATGGTTTGGGTGGGAAGGGACCTTAAAGCCCATCCAGTGCCACCCCCGCCATGGGCAGGAGCTGGAGGGGCTTTAAGGTCCCTTCCCACCCAAAGCAGCCCAGGATTCTGAGAGAGCCCCTTGGCTTCAGGTCAGAAGTGAGACCTTTGTGCCTCCTCGGTCACCTCCAGCCATTTCCACGCTGGAGGCAGGAAGGAAGAGGAGCTCGTTGGTGGGGAAGCAGCAGCAGCAGCTGCTGGTGAGGAGTTTGTTTGTGTCTCAGGGGATGCTCCCAGCAGCTCTCCTGGCACAGCACCTGTGCTCACGGCTCCCAGACCTCAGCGGGGGCCTCTGTCCAGCCCGGGTGACCTCAGCTGGACGGGCTGAGCTCCCAGGGAGCTGCAGGGGTCACCGGTCCTTCACCACGGACTGGGCAGGGACACGGTGCCAGCCCGGGCAGGCGAGGAGGCAGCGAGCCAGGGGGACCAGGAGCAGCTCAGCTCCCGCTGTCCTTTCCCGAGAATGAAAAGAAATGAGTTTATTTCCTCTTGTCCTTAAAGCCTCCTGCGCTGCACAGAAAGGCTTCGCGGGCACAGCACAGAGGGGCAGCAACGCCAGGACAGCAAGGGGAGGATTGAAAAATGTGACTGGTTTATCTTTTTGCTTGGATTTTAGTTGGCAGCTGATCCCTGCCAGCTGCTCCGGGAGGGAGCAGCCCTCACCCACCTCGGGGTGCTGCACCCCGGCCACCGCTCCAGCAGCTCCTCCCGGGGCTGCCCGGTGCAGAGGGACATTCCCGGTGGGATAAGGCACAGAAAAGGGCAGGAGGGAGGGAAAGGAGCTGCCCCGCTCCGCAGCTGGTCCCAAGCACGGCGTGTTTGCTCGCCCGGAGCAGCCGGTTTGGAAATTCAGTAAAGCCCTTGCACGTGTGCGGTGGGAGGGCAGGGCTGCCGCAGCCCCCGGCCCCTGCCCCGCGCCGAGGGAAGGCTCAGCCGGGTCCAGACATTTAGAAATGGAATAAAAATAGCTCTGCCATCCGCGGTGAGTAATAGTTACACCCCGAGTAAAGTGTGTGCAAACTCGAGCCCCCCCCCCCCGGCCCTCTTCCTCCTCCAGCCTGGAGCTCCGGGATGGAAACGGGATTTCGGACCGGGAAAGGGCAGCTGGAATGCAGAGGCTGCTGGAAATCGCCCGGTGTGTCGGGCTCTGGCAAAGGGGCGGCAGGATGGGCAGGATGGGGGGCAGAGGTGGGGAGGGGTCTCTGCTGTGCTGGGCTTTGGGCCGCGGCAGGAGCTCAGCCTGGGCTCGGGCTGCTCCTCCTGCTCAAGGGCGAGCCGGTGGGAGGGAAGGTGCCCGCCAGCAGCTGCCCTGGCCGAATCCCCCCGGCTCCGAGGTCTGGGGGGTTTGCTGAGCTCTCTGCTCCTCCACGTCCCTCCCGGGCTGCTCTGAGCCCCTGCGGAGGTGTAAGCCCAGGAGGGCAGCATCCTGCCGGGGTACCTGCAGGGAGCCCGGCCCCTTCGGCTCCGAGATCCCCCCGGCTCGGAGATTCACCCCCGGCTCGGAGATCCCCCCGGCTCGGAGATCCTCCAGCTCGGAGATCCCCCAGCTCGCAGATCCCCCAACTCCGAGATCCTCCAGCTCCGAGATCCCCCCGGGCATGGGGCAGCCGGGGGCTGCTCCCGGCTCAGCGCTGCCGTGGGTCGCTGCTGCCCTCTGCAGTTGTCCCTCCCCGCTGTAAATGCAAAGGATCCGTAATCCGAGGGAACGATTTTAGCACTTTCTGCCCCAGGTGAGGCCCGCGTGTTTCTTCCCGGGCTTGGAGGAGCATCCCGAGTTCCTCCGGGAACATCCCGAGTTCCCCCAGCACCCCAGATCCTGCCCGATGGGATCCCCCTGGAGCTGTCCCCGTCCCCCGTGTCCTCCCCGGTGTCTCCTGCTCCCTGGCTGTTCCTCTGTCACCTCAGTGTCCCCAAAGGCCTCTGCCCACCCCGGTCCTGGGGCAGCGGCGGCGGGGATGGACAAAGATCCCAAGCCCAGTAAAAATGGAAATGCTGGGAAGTGCAGCAGCTCCTGGGAGTCACCCCCACTGCCCCAGCAATGAGCCACTGCCCGAGGAACTGGGAACATTCCTACTGCCAGATTTTGGGATCTGACTCCTTTTCCCGAGCTGTTGCTCTGGAGAACTTTCACCCTCTGTGCCCCCAGCACAAAGCCCTCAGAGCTAAGGAGCCCAGGGCCCTGCAGGAACCAGGAGAGTCACCTTAGTGCCACCATTCCCTGTCCTCCAAGCTTTAGTCAGAGCTGGGAACGCAGCTGGGGTGGTGGCAGCGAGCTGTGAGGGGCCAGCAGGCTCACAGAGCCCCAGGAGCCAGGGACAGGAGCAGCTATCTCGTGCCCCAGGATCCACAGAACCTCCTGCTGGCAGAGATAGCTGCATTCTGAAAAGAAAATATCAACCCTCCTGCTGGAGGGCAAAAACCAAGCAAATTCCAGGAAAGGAGCCAGCAGATAATGGCAGCTGAGGCTGCCTGGGCCCAGCCTGCAGGGTGAGCTGCCTGGAGCCCTTCCCAGCAGTGGGGTGGGACGCAGGACGTGTCCCCTGTGCTGGCACATGTGTCCATGGGGCTACAAAGGAGTTTGAAATTTAACTGAAGCTGAGTAACTGGAGTTGAGAAGTGTTTTCTCACAGCTGCACGAACCTGTGGAAAAAAAGGGGATTGTTCCTCTCCCCCTTTATTTTTTTCAGCTGATTTGGCACTTGAGGGGAGGGGTCTTGCAGTGCCATGGAGCAGTTCACTGGTGTGCCAAGGGAACATTCCCTGTTTGTGATGCTGAGCCCACTCCATGCTTCCACGCCCTCAGGGAAGCTCTAAGGGGTTTATTAAAACGGCCATAAATCCCTGAAATCCCCACAGATATTTGCACTGTGCCCCAAGGATCTCTCACCCTGGAAGCAGCCACCAACCAGGGAGTGCTCCAGGGAGGAGCAGCTCCCCAAACCTGCAGCAGATCCTGGACAGATCCTCCTGCTGCCCTGCGAGGAGAAAGGAACTGCCCAAGCCCCAGGGAAAGGGAAATCCACGTCCCCAGTGGGAAAGGTGGGGCAGCTGGAATGTTCTGGATGCTCCAGGTAGGTCAATGAGGGAGCAGTGACGAGGAGCAGTAACATGGAGCAGTGACAAGCAGCAGTGACAAGCAGCAGGACAGTGGCAGCCAGCAGCAGGAGGGGCTGGGGGATGCTGTCACCTCCCACACTGCAGGAAAGTTGGAAGGAAAAGCAGGATCAAGTTCTGGTCCACAGGGAAATTTCACCCTCAGGGTGGTTACAAAGCAAAGCCTCCAGAATCAGAAATGTGTGACATTAACAGGGAAAGGAGCTCGAGGATTTAGCAGGAATTGTGTTCCAGTAAAAATCTCCTTGTTCTAGTCCAGTCCCTCAGCTCCAAATTATTTTTCTGAATTAATTTCAGCTTTAATGTTTATCAACACCGAAGAAGCTGAATGAAATTAATTCTATAATATAACTCTAAACTTGATCCTTAAGAAAAAAAAACAGATCAAATTCAGGACGCAGGAAGCAGCATTTCAGTACAAGAATCTGTCTTATTTTTACAGTGCAGTGATTGAAACAATGTAGAAATTCAACTTGCAAAACTGAATTTGTATCACAACGTCTCTCAGAAGGCAAAGCAAATGTTGCTTTGAATCACAAAATATTCCTCTGGACACCAAAAATTACAAACCTCCAGCACTATACACCGGGCTTTCTTTAGAGACTGATTCCCCATAATTTAAATCTATCTTATAAACAATTTCTCTTTAAAAAAAACACACAGAAGATAAAAACAAGTCAAGTATTAACGCCAAGGCCTTGGTTGTTCTTATTATTTCCTCAGCTTGCAGCAGGGCTGGGGTCTAGTCGGGCTCAGTCACGCACTGCTCCACGATCTCCCGCAGGTTCGGGTTCTCCATGGCTGCTGCCACCCTCTCCTTGTCGTTGATCTGCTTGTTGACTGCAAAAGAGCCCGGGACAGAGAGCCAGGACAGGGCTCAGGAGCTGCCAGGGACACCAGGGGCTCAGCAGGAAAGGACATTCGAGGGGGGACTGGGAAAGGGGGAACGAGGCAGATGCAAGCGCAGTCACGACAAATAAGAATTCCTGTCGCTTTTCTAGCTCAGGGAAAGGATTTAGGGTGTTCCAGTGGCATGTCCCAAAATCAAGAGTGCAATTCAGGGTAAATGAGCAGCCCAGGTTCTCCAGGTCCAGTTTGCAGCTCTTTAACCACAATATCCCATTTTTGGCAGGCACTGAACGCTCAAGCCCAGGGCACTGCTGGGACTCCACGGCTGCTGCTGAGGCAGGGCCTGGCTCTGGCTGGGCAGAACATCCAGGTCCTGCCAGCTTTGCTGCAAAACCTGCCTGAGAAACGTCCAGTTTTGGAGTGGGGAGCTCAGGACAGTGGGACCAACAGCTGAGGCAGCTCCTCGTGTCCATTACTCAACTTTTGTTACCAACGCCAGCCAGAGCCGGGGGGGTTTTGTTACAAAACCAAACCAGGAGGTGGGCACAGAGTCACCCCAGCCCTGGGAACACCTGGATGCCACTGGGTCTTCAGGCTCGGGCAGGGGATTCATCTCTGGGAGGCAGGGCAGCAGAGGGCAGAGCACAGGGGGCTGAAGCAGCAGCATGCACAGGCTCTACTCACTGTCCTCCTCCGTGGAATGTGTGCCCTCAGAAATGTAGATTTCCAGCTGCAGGAGAGATCAGCAGCGTTAGGGGCTCCACAGCAGTGCAAAACCTTCCCCCCTGCAGGAAAACCCTGTCCCCCACACACACAGGGTGCTGCCACAGGAGGGGAATGCTGCCCAGAGCTCCCTTGGCAGTGCCCAGCTGGGAGCGAGGAGCCAGCAGCTACAGAACCCAAAAATCAGCTCCAGGGATCCTCAGGTAATTAACGTGTTCCTTAACAAGTCTCCAAAGGTCTGTGTTTAATTTAGGGAGGCTGCCATTCATTCATGGAATTTAAAACAGGCTTCAAACGAGGCACTTTACCTTGTGTCTAAAAGGCAAACATCTCTGAAGTTTGATTCTTAAACAAAGGCCTGTTAAAAGAGAACACAAAAGAGATTTTCTGTAAAAGTCAAGGTCTGAGGAGCATTTTCACAGAATCCATGTTTAACAGTCAGTGTAACTGACAATGTCCTTTTGTACTCTGAGCAGCACAAGCCACAGAGCGAAAAGGGACAAGCAGAAAATTGTCTTTTTCTTTTAAATGTAAGAGCTGACAAGTTGTCAATTAATAACATTAATGGAGTAACTTGGAGAATGCAAAGAAGGAATTCTGTACACTTCCCAGCAGAGTTTTGAGAGGTTCTCTTTGAAGAGATTCCCTAACATGACACAAACACATGGGTGTCCCCCTTTCTCTGGATTTGGGTTTTTTTGTGCTCGGTTTGGTCTGGTTTTTGGTTTGGTTGCATTGGTGGTTGGGTTCTCAAGCTGCAATTCCTGGTCAAACCAACACAGCCAGGCAAGACTGAATGTGCACTGGGACTGATGGCATCCAGCCAGGCTGAAATGAGCCCTGTGCCCTTTGTTTGTGACCTGGT